CCTCTCGGCGGGGGGACCTCTCGGCAGGGGGGCCCCCCGGAACTTCCCAAAATGATAAACAAGACAGAAATTGTCATCAAATACAATTTTACTAAAGAACAAGGCGAAACTCAGTTTCACTAAACTGCGAGTCGCTGAGCTAAAGATTTGCATTATACATTGAAAGCACTAAACGACATATTTAAAAATAATAACATAAGTCATGATTTCAATGGACAAGTGTGCACATGTTCAGACAAATATTACAGTGTTCATTTCAACATACAACGGATGGCATAATGTGTTGAAATGGTTAAAATCGTGTCATTGCAATATCCATTACCTGAGAAGTTTCGCCTGACATGTTGAAACGAAAAGAAAACGTATTTAACACAGTATACTGACATACAGTGGTTCTGTCTCTTCACTTCGAAGGAAAAGAAAGATCGAGCATCGAGTGTCGGTTGTTTTTAGCAGAAACGGAACCCATACTAACGAACAAACGAATAAATTTTGACTTTCTTTTGTTTCATCTTCTTTCAAATGATAACATCTGAAACCCGCGAAGCTATGTCCACCCTGTACACTTTATGTCATAATCACCCTCACGAGTAACATGCTCACAAAAAAACCACACATATTACCGGCTTCACTATTGTGTGAAGACCAATTCTTAGTCATGTGTAATTCCCCCCCCCCCCCCATTATATATTTTAATTGGAAAGTAATAAATCATGTTATATCAAGATATCGTAGCACGTGAACAAAATATGAACACAACATACCAAAATTTAAGAAATTTCAGTCTTTAATAAGAAACTATCAGGTACAATATTAAGAGAGATCAAATTTCACAGCTTTGCGAACTGAAGCACAGAAAAACAGAACAGAAAAATATAGCACCTTTTGACACTTTAAATCACCCCGTCAAGCCATACAAAATATCAAAGTTAAAAGTGATTCTTGATGCTGTCTTTTTACTTCAGTTTTGCAATGATGAGCTTTGGATTTTAGCATGCATACATAAAATGAACTTAATACAGGGCTGCATCATATGACAACACCTAAGAATTATTCAATCCTTTCTCCAGCTTGAGTGCGAATCCGTTGGGCTTCTGGTTTGCATCTTCGGATTCCCTGGACTTGACATCTTCATTTCCATCAGATTCCTTGGGATTCTCAAGTTGGGGTTCTTCAACTTCAATTGAATTATCGGGATCTTCTAATTCAGGCACTTCCTTGTGTCTTGAGACATTCTCGATGCAGGCTGCACCTAAAACAATAAATGAACATTAATATTTACTTAAGCCAAACATCAAGTACAAATTATCTATATATTAAGCACATTACTTACTAGCTTCTGTAAGGTCAATGCGAAAGCTGCCATCGACCGTTTTCTCACGAAAAACTGGGTAAATATCTTTTCCATTCATCACATCAGATTTTATCTGTTTCACATCTTCTGGGCTAATCTCCCGCAGATACTTTCCCGGCAACTGAGTACGGCATTTTTGGCCTTTGGAAGTCACAATTGTCGCTTGCTGCCCTTTGCCGTATTCAGGGTGATTGGATTCCACCAAGTTGAGAATCTTGTATGGCATGTTCGGGGTAAGCTGAGCCATGCTAGTGAATGGTATCCACTCTTTATTAGCGTGTTTGAACTTCTTGTGCGGGCTGTTTTCCTTGGAATCCTGCAAAAAATCACATTTCGATTACCAACACTGCAAGTACTTTCACCAACAAAACTTAACCTCCAACATTCAATTACATATAATGTGTCTTCATTGCAAAGACACAATAATATAAACAATTGAAAATATGAAATTTTTATTCATAGTCAGATATTTTTATTAGTGAAATGTCACATATTTTATAAAAATATATAAAAACAATACACACCTTCCCTCCTTCACGCATGGAGTTACTTGGACTCTGGAAGAACAGAAAAAAATGTAATTAGCTTAGATGTGACAATGCTTTGAGAACAATACTCTTTTTCTACAACCAAGTAAACGATAATGGGATAGTTAAGAATGGGTAAAAATACATGTAACACAGTGAATAGAATAGTTCTTTAATCCACAGCCGTGTGCAACGAGACACATGCGTACAATTTAAACGGTGTCTCTGCCACAACAACCCACACCAACCGAGAATTAAACCACAGGCTAGGACTTGGTGACAACGCAGACTAACCTCTCGCAACATAAACAAACAAAATATAACAAATAGACATTTAAGGGGAGGGTATACTGAAATCCTTAAAATCTAATCAAGAGACAATTTCAAAAAAGTGTTTTATAATAGTAGTAGCACTCACTTTAAAAACTCATTTAAGCTATAGCATGTCCAAATCCATCAAAAAACTTTGCGCATAGAACTTTTTTAACTTAAAAGTTTACGTAACTTTGAAAACTTCTGTGCGCACAGTTTTTTGGTAGACTTTTGGCATTCTATACCTTAAATTAATCCTCAAAGTGCATACTACAACAATTATAGAGTACTTTTTTTATTTTGTCCCTTGTTTAGATTTTAACTTGATTAATTCATTTAATTAGGTGATTTATCAATTTTTTCAGTATACTCTCCCCTTAATGAACTGAAGATGAATTCAAATTTAACTAGTAAAATATCAGACAAAGGCTACAAGCTACATGTTTTAAAAATAGCAACATACAAAGATATTCCTATGAGGTTATCAAATGCACGACGTTTGCCATTCTTATTTAACATTTAATCGTACGCGATATCACATTTTATGAATGAAATGTTGACACATTCAATGATAACATACCTCCATTGTAAATTCAAGCCAGAAATTAGATGGTTAAAGATGAAGATTCTCAGCAGTTGGATGCCTCTTGCCGCAAGACCAAACCAGGACCAGGAAATGTGGATGTGCAGTGAAACCGAAAGACGGAAACAGACAAAAGAATCGCTGTCGACAGGTGAAGAAAGCAGGGAAGAAGGTTATCCTTAGGTGAAGTGGGGGCAGGAAATGGACAATTTAACCAACATACAATATCTAGGAAACTATTTGCAGAATAACAAGATATTTACAATTCCAGCATCTCATCTCTGAATAATATAAAATTAACCTTGTGACTAAAGTGTACTGTAAAAACGAATTTTCTTCAAGTCAAGAGTGGCATCTTTGCCTCAGCCTTAAGCTTCGGCTTTACCTAGTAGTGTCTTATATTTGAGTAACAACTGTAAGCCAAGTGGACATTGTGGGAGCACGGTAGGCTGCTCAGACGGTTTCGTTGCTTTTTTCCCAGCACGCGAAAGGTTCCAATCTCTGAAGGTCAAAAATGGTGATATAAGTATTACAAATGTTTGATGCCTGTATGTTTTATTCGCTTGTAGGGTAAGATGCCGTATGATGGCCCCCTTAAGAATGGGCCTGCCCAATGATGGCCATCCCCTTTTCTTGTAATGTAGACAACGATGTGAAGTAGTTTGACCTATTATGCCCAAGTAGGGACCTTACTAGAACACTACTTCAAGACCAAGATTGCAAAGTGACCAGATTGGCTGGAAATCAAGAAAAGTGGCCATCAATGGGACAGTGGTCACAATAGGGCACCTTACCCTGTGTGAATTGCTTCAAGAATGAGGCATCATATTCTCAGACAGTATTTCTGTTTTAAAGAAATCTTAGAACAACAAACAAAATCCTACTTTGACTGGCTTTCTTTTTATTTGTGCCGTACTTCATCTGCAGATGACTGCTCTTAAACAGCCTGTATACCTCATAGCTAAGCCATATTGTTTACAGGGAATAGTGCAAGTTGTAAAAGGTCAGCTTACAAGATTACTGTACTCTCGTATCCAGTCAAAATGATGATAAGAGGACTCATTCCAATCCCTCAGGAAGGGGTAGAGAACTCGTCCCCTAATCGTAAGGTTCGGGGTTCAAATCCCATCGGTCGCCGTCAGCTTTCATCATAAAAGTAAGTAGCTTAGAGGGTAAAATTGGTAATCCGAAAGGGAAAAGCGAAACGAAAGTAAACTAGCTATGTGTACGCCAGACCACGTCTCGCGTAACAGGCTTCTTGGAATGAAGCTTAAATAGGGTTCAATAAACTATTAAATTAACAGTAGTAGTCAGTATTAGTAAAAGTATTAGTATAAACTATTAAAGTATTAGCAGGTGAATTGCCACTCTTTGATTTATTTTCATCATAACTCTCTCTGGCGTCTTAAAGATCCCGAGGCAGTGAGGTGTATGATAGGAAATTTCTGTCATATTATGTCATGAAATGTAATAAAGCATTCCGGTAAACCTAAAATGCAGGAGAATGCGAGGGAGAAGGAAATGGAAATCATTCTGCTTCGTTCCCACCCATTTTTCCTACTCCACTTTTCCTAACCACAAAATGTCCTAAACTCATTCGTCCTAAATTTCGCATTCCTAATTTTTTTTCCTATTTACCAATTTTCCAATTCCAAATTTCCCAACCTAGAGACGCGGGGTGGCCGTTTCGCCTGAGCCGTGTACCCAGTACCATATATTGTGGGTATTATAAAAGTATTTTAGAATGTTTTCGGTTCTATAGAAGATTATAAGTAAATTATAAGGTATTTCAAGATAACTAGCTATATGTACGCCAGACCACGTCTCGCGTAACAGGCTTCGCGATATCTCACGAAACACTGTTACGCTGCGACGCGCCTGGCGCACATATAGCTAGGCCTGCGGCGCTGACACTAGGTAAAGGAGGGAGGAGATCCACTGTCAGCCCATTAAGGCGTCCCCGTCTCGAAACTCGTCTACCTGCGATTTGGTGTACGTCGGGTCGCGCTCGGCTCTCCTCGGCTCTCCTCGGCTCTACTCGGCTTCTGCAGTTCGGGGTTGTCGAGTAAATACGCTGGCCCCCCCTCCCCTCCACCTCCCCGCTGATCTGCGTTGACGCGCGTCATCACCGCAGCAGGCGGCCGGCCGGCCGCCTCCCCCGCCTCCCGAGCGCAGCTCGCCGGAGCCGGGGAGCGACTTGACGTACCGGCCCCGGGCCGCCTTCGGCTCGAGAGCCGAAGGCGGCCCGACGTACACCAAGAGCCGAACGCAAAGTGCAATTTAGCGAGGACACGGGTCGCCTATGCTGGCCCACAGGGCAGTGGATCTCCTCCTCCTTTATCTAGTGCGCTGACACCCGAGACGAGTTAACAGAAGTGTATATACAATTTGTCGATATTCAGTAATTTTTATACGATTTCGTCATTTTCACCTCATTTTTGTCAATAAATGCCCCCTAGCACCCAAACGGTGCAAGATAGAGCAAAATTTTCGTCTCAAAGGAATCTATTTTTAAGAGTTACCCTACAGGAGACCATAAAAAAATATTTGGAAAAAAAATATCTTGTTGCCTGTGGTTTTTGATTTTTTAAAAAGTCAATTTTTGAGTCTTTTAATGATACAAAACGACCCTGAAATTCCCAGATCGATATCTCAATTCTTTCTCGAGTTATCGTGCGTACAGACGGACAGACAGACAAACAAACAAACAAACAGAATGAAACTTTTCCGGTCAGTGGAGTAATGGGCTTCGCTAATCGCTCAGCCAACTACTAGGTAGATGTACGCCAGACCACGTCTCGCGTAATAGGCTTCGCGATATCTCACGAAACACTGTTACGCTGCGACGCGCCTGACATACATCTACCTAGGCCTGCGGCGCTGACACCCCAGTCGGGAAGCGCAAAAATGTACACGAAGATACGGGCCTTCGGCCCGACAACTTCCCGTCACTTCGACTAAGAATGCAGGATTGTATATTTTTTCGCTTATTTTCGTCAAAAACTCCCTGTGGCGCCCGAACGGTTAGAGATAGAGCCAAACGGACGAAATTTTCGCCCGTAGACCCTTACTTTGAAGAGTTATCCCTTAAAAAACAT